GTATAGGCCGACAGTGGAAAATAGCGTGAACGGTAAAATGCCATGTCTACACACACACACAAATAGGCCTACAGTGGAAAATAGCGTGAACGGTTAAATGCCATGTCTACACACACACACAAAACGGTATAGGCCGACAGTGGAAAATAGCGTATTTGTTTTGTATTTATATCATTATCTCATGGCACATCATGATGACGGCCAATAAAACTGAGACAAGGGTGAAAGCCAACCACAGCAGTAAAACAGATAAAAGAATACAAATAAGAGGCAAAGAAGGCAAAGGAGGAGACAAACCAGCAGGATATACATGAAACCTATAATTGAGCAGAGATTTTAGCAACAAAATTATCCATCGACGTGCTGGTCTTGGCCTGCGTTGGTAATGTTGCCCAAAACACATAGCCAGCAAAGATCGGGGATCTAGTGAATAGGGTGGAGGCAGCGCGTGGGAGACTGAGCGAGTTCCGGGTATTCCGTGTTTCGGAGAACCAATTATAAGCCTGCATATGCAAGGGTATTTTATTTAGTAATATTTTATGTATGAGAACACAGAGGTGGTACTTATGTGGAGTGGAAAGGGGACTGATCTTGGCAATTTCGTAAAGACTAGCGGAGGGAAAGCGACGATCTTTGCTAAATAAGATTTTAAGGAGCATGCGGTTATGGGTTTCTAGCTTGTTCAATACAGTAGTAGTTATGCCAGACCAAGCAGTATCACAGTAGTCAAGTAAGGGCAATATATAGCAACGATAAAACAAGCGTTTGCAAGAAAGAGGAAGATGTCTGCGTGAACGGTAAAATGCCATGTCTACACACACACACAAAACGTATAGGCAGACAGTGGAAAATAGCGTGAACGGTAAAATGCCATGTCTACACACACACACAAAACGGTTGGGCCGACAGTGGAAAATAGCGTGAACGGTAAAATGCCATGTCTACACACACACACAAAACGGTATAGGCCGACAGTGGAAAATAGCGTGAACGGTAAAATGCCATGTCTACACACACACAAAACGGTATAGGCCGACAGTTGAAAATAGCGTGAACGGTAAAGTGCCATGTCTATACACACACATACAAAACGGTATAGGCCGACAGTGGAAAATAGCGTGAACGGTAAAATTCCATGTCTATACACACACACACAAAACGGTATAGGCCGACAGTGGAAAATAGCGTGAACGGTAAAATGCCATGGCTATACACACACACAAAACGGTATAGGCCGACAGTGGAAAATAGCGTGAACGGTAAAATGCCATGTCTACACACACACACACAAAACGGTATAGGTCGACAGTGGAAAATAGCGTGAACGGTAAAATGCCATGTCTATACACACACAAAAAACGGTATAGGCCGACAGTGGAAAATAGCGTGAACGGTAAAATGCCATGTCTACACACACACACAAAACGGTATAGGCCGACAGTGGAAAATAGCGTGAACGGTAAAATGCCATGTCTATACACACACACAAAACGGTATAGGCCGACAGTGGAAAATAGCGTGAACGGTAAAATGCCATGTCTATACACACACACAAAACGGTATAGGCCGACAGTGGAAAATAGCGTGAACGGTAAAATGCCATGTCTACACACACACAAAACGGTATAGGTCGACAGTGGAAAATAGCGTGAACGGTAAAATGCCATGTCTATACACACACAAAACGGTATAGGTCGACAGTGGAAAATAGCGTGAACGGTAAAATGCCATGTCTACACACACACAAAACGGTATAGGCCGACAGTGGAAAATAGCGTGAACGGTAAAATGCCATGTCTATACACAAACACACAAAACGGTATAGGCCGACAGTGGAAAATAGCGTGAACGGTAAAATGCCATGTCTACACACACACAAAACGGTATAGGTCGACAGTGGAAAATAACGTGAACGGTAAAATGCCATGTCTACACACACACACAAAACGGTATAGGCCGACAGTGGAAAATAGCGTGAACGGTAAAATGCCATGTCTATACACACACACAAAACGGTATAGGCCGACAGTGGAAAATAGCGTGAACGGTAAAATGCCATGTCTACACACACACACAAAACGGTATAGGCCGACAGTGGAAAATAGCGTGAACGGTAAAATGCCATGTCTATACACACACACAAAACGGTATAGGCCGACAGTGGAAAATAGCGTGAACGGTAAAATGCCATGTCTACACACACACAAAACGGTATAGGTCGACAGTGGAAAATAGCGTGAACGGTAAAATGCCATGTCTATACACACACAAAACGGTATAGGTCGACAGTGGAAAATAGCGTGAACGGTAAAATGCCATGTCTACACACACACAAAACGGTATAGGCCGACAGTGGAAAATAGCGTGAACGGAAAAATGCCATGTCTATACACACACACACAAAACGGTATAGGCCGACAGTGGAAAATAGCGTGAACGGTAAAATGCCATGTCTACACACACACAAAACGGTATAGGTCGACAGTGGAAAATAGCGTGAACGGTAAAATGCCATGTCTATACACACACACAAAACGGTATAGGCCGACAGTGGAAAATAGCGTGAACGGTAAAATGCCATGTCTATACACACACACAAAACGGTATAGGCCGACAGTGGAAAATAGCGTGAACGGTAAAATGCCATGTCTATACACACACACAAAACGGTATAGGTCGACAGTGGAAAATAGCGTGCACGGTAAAATGCCATGTCTACACACACACAAAACGGTATAGGTCGACAGTGGAAAATAGCGTGAACGGTAAAATGCCATGTCTATACACACACACAAAACGGTATAGGCCGACAGTGGAAAATAGCGTGAACGGTAAAATGCCATATCTATACACACACACAAAACGGTATAGGCCGACAGTGGAAAATAGCGTGAACGGTAAAATGCCATGTCTATACACACACACAAAACGGTATAGGCCGACAGTGGAAAATAGCGTGAACGGTAAAATGCCATGTCTATACACACACACAAAACGGTATAGGCCGACAGTGGAAAATAGCGTGAACGGTAAAATGCCATGTCTATACACACACACACAAAACGGTATAGGCCGACAGTGGAAAATAGCGTGAACGGTAAAATGGCAACAATGTCTATTGAGAAACACACGCTAGACTCAACCAACTCACATACAATGTACCTCTAATGACATTATGTAATGGTAGTCGGCTGGGCTGCCATATCGCAGAACAAAACCATCTCTGCATTCACTGTTTGACAGCTAGAACCCAGGAGCCTTCAGTGAACGGCAGGTGCATGGTTAGTCTGCTGAATACTCCAGACTCGCGGACCTGGTTCATGGCACGATGCAGACTTTCAGAGAATGTGCTGATGACACAACGTCACCGTAGCAGCAGCAGCAGCAGCAGCACCCTGAATATGGGCTATCTTCACTGCCTACCTTCCTTGGTGTTCATATGACTGACGGTGGACAGCGAAGTTCTAAGCTGTGGACATTGAGTCATGATGTTGTAGAGGTGAGGGATGGTGAGGAACGATACAGCGTACCCAGTTCAGTTGGATCAAGCATACCAAGACAGCCTTCTGGACATGGGAAAGAGAAGAGATGGTGGAGACCAGTGTGAACAGGTTGTTCTGTCAGGTTTGTTAGATCTTTGCACGCGGATGACATGCTCTAAGTTTGTAATGGCTTGGACACGATGGAAACGATGCGCCTCTGTAAGTTTGTATCCTTGATGATGGTTTGGCCTAGAGAGCGCGATACATGTGGTGCTTTTCAAGCACAATCTTCACGAACTGCTGTCCCACTCTTCATTTACTGACTATAATATTTACTTGACGACACTTGATATAATTATGTAGTAGGTTTAAAATAATTTTTGACAATAGAATGACTTTCAAGACCAACATTCTCTTCACAGTGTGCTCATAATGACAGGTGCGGAGCATGGAATACTTTCCTGCAGGCAAACTACACCTCACTGGATCACATGCAGCACATCCTGACCTGCACTTTCACACTGGTCACGTATCACTTCTGTTGACTGCAAGCATTTGCTTGAGAGCCCACTTCAGCCCTGCTGCAGTCAACCTTGCCAGCTAATATGGCACTTTTGATTATTTTTGGTCGCCGTGTGCAGGTCAAAAATGTCACTTGGTGCACTAAAAGTCGGTCCTGGTCGCGCAAGGCAGGAGGTCTCTGAATCCGGAGCAGTTTCTGTGTAGAACTGTCCGTAGATAGAAAATGGCCGTTAAAGATAGGTGGTCGGTAACACCAGAGGTCGCTTGCACCAGGTTTTACTTTATCTGATATAAACACTATTGATTGATTGATATAAACACTATGTAATATGATGTGAATGAACTACTACCCATCTTCTCCTGTTGGTTGATAGCATGTAAGAAGGAGGAGACCACCGTTTTGGGAAACAGTGACCTTACTACAACCATCCTCGGTTGGTGCAACCCTGGTCTTTACGACCATCTAAACCGTATGAGTGTTAGACTCGGGTCTGACACTGCTTGTTCTAAGTGTGGTCTTAGTTTTCTTGTTGTTGTACCGTCAGTCGTGTATTCGTTGTTCGCTCCTGGATGTCTTATTGATACTGAGTCCTCTTACAATTTGTAGCTTCTGATCTGAATTGTTCTTCTTACTTCTCTTTTTATACTCATTTTCCAACTCCTGGCCCCATGACGTCACTCTCTCAGCTCATCATCTGACAGCAGTTACTGTCACCTCCATGTCACTGTCGTTTGCACGTGACACTGCTGCTCTGACAATCACTGACAGCTCGCTGGATCAGCTTGTTACAAACTAAGAAAGTGTTGCAGGCTGGCATCAACACCAGCGTCTAGGTGTAGTGCCACTAGTGGCGTACAAGCCACATGAAAGCAACATTCCATTCATTCATCTCGAGAACACTAGGGTCTACTTCAGGCCCATACGACATCAGGAATTCTAGAAAACGACACAAAATTGAGAAAGATTGCAACCACGACCAAACAAGAGAGAAAGAGAGAGAGAGAGAGAGAGAGAGAGTAAGTTACATTTATAAAGACAGGTAAGTCTAACAAATGAGGACTGAGACCTCTACAACAGGGTTTTTACGCCTGAAAGCAGGTGCATGATTTAACAAGCAGGTTGTCAGTCTAGATTTTATGCGCAGATGGAGAAAAAGCGCAGAATTTTTGTAATGAGATGAAAAGCAGAAATAATAAGAAATAATAAGAAAAGATGAAATGAAAGCCTGCTCACAACCCCGCCCAGCCTTGCGAACTGGGTATGGTGGATTAAGAACCCGGTTCAACGCTCGAGCAAGCGCTCTCCACTCAAGGTGTTCACAGCAACTGATAGGAACTCATATGGGGAAATTATAGAAAAGAAATAATAAGATAAAGAGAATAAATTTCAACGCACCTCAATAAACGGAGCCCCACATACAGTACCTCAGAAAAGTGGATCTTCCGACCAGTGTTTTTGTTGACGCCGCAACCAGATGATGTAGCTGCTTCGCAGAGACGTCTTACTGCACAAATTACAAATAAATTTTATTCTTCGATTAGAAAATCCAAGCGCTTTCAGAGCCCTCCGAAGAGAGTCCGGGATGAAACCACGCACACCTACCTCAACCGAAAAAGAAACGACCTGCCACCCGTTTGCTCGGCATTGATCGGCCAGATCCGCATACCGCCTGTCCTTCCGCGAGTTACTGACACTGAATCTGTCCTCAGCACAAACTGTCAACTCCATCCAGAATACAATCCTACGACTCGTAGAGTACAGAACTATATCTGGTCTTAGGGTGGTAAGTGCAACACAGCCAGGGAAAGAAATCTTTGCACTAACTGAGTCGACAAGAAGTTTCCAGTCTGAGGCCGCTGACAGGAGATCAGTCGTAACCAACTTTCGTCTGGGCTGAACGCGAACTGGCTTCTCTCCCGCCTTGCAAAACGAGATGAAGTCAAGCTCATTTGAATTTTCGGTTTGTACGGTGTTTGCAGCAGTGCGGATTCGAATCTCCTCACGCATGTTCCTGACGATGACCCCGAGTACGTTGTCGTGCCTCCAGGTGTAACGTCCCTGGTCCAGCGCTACGCGACAAGCGCCAAGCACGTGGCGCGTAGCACAGGCCCAGGTACGGCACAAACTACAGTACGGATCCACTACGGTGTTTCCCCAACGGCGTAGGTTCGTCGGAGAAGGTAGCACGTCGAGGGTTGATGCGAGAAGAAATTTCAAATCCTTACCAGTACCACCGTACAAAAGGGATTTCCACGAGAGGTCCTGCCACATCACCGATGTCCACTCCAACCACTTGCCTTGCACCTGAAGAGTCTTCAGCCTCAAAATCTGCTCCTGCGCGTTGATCTCCTCAAATGTTTGAAGGAGATCCTTCCTCGGGGGTTTGGAATGCTGCTTCGGAGCACGAGCACCCAACCCTGCACGATGACTTGAAGATGACGGTGGACGGAGAGTCCCTGAACCTACTGATGCCTCTGCACACTCCAGCTCTATTGTCGCCGCATATCGCTTTGTCAGCTTCGCATCCTTACTCCGACGCAGAGTGTACAGCGCCCTCATGCGCGCGTCCCCACTCGATCGAAGAATGTGCCATTTGATGGACTGGCACTTTTTCCACACCGTAGGAAGGTAGTGGAGGCGTAAGCCAAAGCGTTTGCGACTGCCAATAAAAAGAATGGCAGAGTTTGCGCATCGAGGTAGGCCTGACCATTTCTTCAGAAATGATAAACACATAAAGTGCAGTTCACGTACAAAACCTTGTGTGAGTTCAAGAACCTGGAAAGACCAAGAAAGCTTGGGCACTACAAGATGGTGGTAAAGCCATAGCTTGTGGTGGTCTTGAAGCCAAGAGCCATCTACTTTTTGCATGAGAGATACAGTGAGTTGACGGATGTCTTCCCGCTGGGTCTGCTCAGAGCAATCAGCATGCAGCCTTCGCCCCAGGAACTTGAACTCTGCAGTGTCAATGAAAGCGATCTTCCTCCCTGACATTGTCAGGCAGGGATCGTAAGGTTTGTACCGGCCATCTACAAGCTTTGCTGCACTGCTTTTGCATTTGTGCGGCGCCGCCTGCATACATTGGGTCCACGAGAGAAAGTCCTCCGTGACCGCAATGAGTTTTTGACAACCTGCACTAGATTTGCTATAGAGGCCTAAGTCATCAGCAAAAGCTGTTTGGGACACTTGCAAAGGGGCAGATTTAAAATCATAGGAGAGGCAACTTAATTCAGGGGCTGCAAGTGAGTCCAGCAGAAGCTGGAAACAAATATTGAAAAGGACCGGGGACAAGGGGCACCCCTGGAAAACACCAATGTTGTAATTAAAGGTGGGTGTGTGTGGTTGTACGACGAAAGCGCAAAGACTGTCGTAGTAGGAAAAAATTAATTTCCTGAATTGCAAAGGAAGGCTGTAGTGGGTTAGAGCATACTGTATCAGATTGTGGCGCACTGAACCAAATGCATTCTTCAAATCTATCCACGCAATGCAAATTTGGCGTTTTGCCGTCTTTGCATCACGCATCGCCTCATAACAAAGTGATGTATGCTCTAAGCACCCAGCCTTTGCAGGCATAAATCCTTTCTGGTTGTCACCATCGAAGAACTTATTGCCTAGCATATGTTTCAAGAGGCGCTTTGCAACTAAGGTGAAAAAGATCTTCCCGGACGTGTTCGCTAGAGCAATCGGTCGGAATTTCGAAGGATCATCAGACACCTCCCCCTTGGCCAGGAGTGTGATACACGCTACCTGCCACTGCCTTGGAATGATCTTGCTCTCCCAAACCCGCCCAAAGATGGTGAAAAGAATGGATTGAAGGGAGGGACAAAGCTTCCAAACTATGTAAGGTATCTTGTCAGGACCCGGTGCAGAGGTGTTGCGACACTTCTTCAAAACATTCTGAAATTCAGTCCATGTAGGGGTCCCCTCATCGACTGGGTGGGTGCAATCCCGGGGCTTCCCTGCACTGGGGCAGGATTCGTACGAAGTGGCACGATCCTGGTCTGCATATGTGTGTTGGAAGTACTCAAAGCAGGTAGTGTCAGAGAAAGTGGGTTTGACATGGTTGGTTGGTTGAAACAATTTCTTTCCGAAGGCATATGGGTCCTTGAGAAAGGCATCCTGGTCCCTCTTGTTCCGGGATCGATCGTCGTACATCTTTTGTTGTTTCAAAAGACGCTTGATTTGTTTTCCAATTGAAAAATACTCATTTCTGAGCGCTGCAGGTACTTCGTCCGGGTTTTTGATCTTACGAAATTGGCGCTTTAAATCACGCCTGTGAGCCCGGAGTTTTTCCACTGCACGGTTTTTATTTGCATTCTTGTGTTTTGGTGGAGGTGGTGGTGGTTTCTGGTCGAAAAACCAGTGAATGAAGTTCTCTAGTTTGTCCAGAGTCTCTTCGATGTTAGTGTTTTTGAGGTATGAGGTTGGGAAATGTTGAGTGAGATGGATCTTCAACTGAGCGTTTATTGTGTGCCATGCCTTGGTGTTTTTGGCTGACGGTAGCAGTAGGGACTGCCGGACTTCTACCTTGTCCATGTCCCGTTGATTCAGGACATGAAGTAAAGACTCATTATGACAGGGAGTGGATTCGTGCGGGATTGTTCGCAATTCATCTCCAGGAGTCATTGTCTGACCTACAGATGGGCTGAAGTGCATTGAATCAATCATGGAAGTCGTCCGACCATCCCCGCTACTGCCGTCTGCTTTGGCTGAGGTGGTTGAAAGTGATTTGTAGACCGGGCAGGTCTGTAGATGTCGTGGCAAGTTTTGTTTCCATTTGAGTTTTCTCAAACAGTGTGGACATGTTGTTTCCCGGTCTGATGGTGTAATGGTTGGTGTACTTGCCTCTAAAGTCATTGGAGTCTCGTGTGGTGGTGATGCAGAGACTGCTGACACAGCTCCAGCCTGCGATGAGAGAGAGAGAGAGAGAGAGAGAGAGAGAGAGAGAGAGAGAGAGAGAGAGAGAGAGAGAGAGAGAGAGAGAGAGAGAAAAAAGAGAGAGAGAGAAAGATAGAAAGAAAGAGAGGGAGAGACAAAGAGGGGGAGAGTGCCAAATCGAACACACTGCTGTCGGGTTCTGAGATAGCTGGCAATCCCCAATCAAGTGGTTCCTATCTATCGTGCCAATCATCCATCGTTGCCGTTGGGGCGAAGCAGTCCGTTGTCCAGGAGCAGTTGCGAGGCACAAACAGCAACGCATCAACCATCATGTGGAGAATGTAGACATTAGCAGTAGGAGACTACGGCCAATATAGAGGTTTTGCATTCCGAATTTCGGAATGATTTTCGACTGTGCTTTTCCGAAAAAAGCGCGTTCCGAAAAACGGTATTTTCAGTGTTTTGCATTCCGAAAATCTGATTCGACTTCGTTTCCAAGGGTTGCCATGCAAAACAAAATGGAGAGCGTCGAAGGGGTTGATCAAATCCATGTGCGCAGGTCAAACTGAATTTTGGGTGCGGTTCGAAGACGAGGACGGACTGATGGTGGACCAAGTGATCCAACAGCTGAAGACGAGGTTGAAAACGTTGGCGAACTACTGTCTTGTACTGTCAGTAGGCTCCATGGCAAAGGAAGCCAGAGTGTGATGGAGTGTGAGAAGATTAGTCAACATGGCGAGATCAGCGAGAGCAGCAAAACCAGCCGCTGAAAAATCAAAACTACATACGTGGAAAAATTTCAAATAATCGAGAGCAGCAGAAAGCAAAAATAAAAACATGAAAAATACACTTTTTTGTATTCGAATATGCACTCCCAAACATGAAAGAGCCGAAAATCCATTTTCGGAAAACCATGCACTTTCGCCACCACACTTCCGAAAGTTCGACTACTTTTTCGACTGCTGCCGTGACATTCCGAAAATAATTCCGAAATTCGGAATGCAAAACCTCTCTATTATCTACCAAACTCTACTTGAGCATGCAAGCAGCATGTAAACACAGCAAGATCATCATCCACCAGAAAACCTCACATGTCCTATACAACCCAGTGTATGCTCCAGAGCCGGGTGAGCCAGGTGAGGCGGGTGAGCCGGGTGAGCCGGGTAATCGACCCGGTTGGGCGGTGCTTGGACCCGGTTGAAAATATAGTACCGGGTCACCTGTGACCCGGTTGGTACTTTGCACGTTCGAACTTTGAAAGGACTGACTACATGGCTTGTATGTGTGACAGATCATGCAGAGGCGCGCGTCGAAGTGAAAGTAGTCAGTACGTGCACGTGCTCAGTTCGAGCTTGATCGTTGAGGTGTTGTTTTTGGAAATGGAGCCTCCAGCGAAGAGGCAAATCCACGGGGAGGTCACTGAGCTGAGTTAAAGGGGAAGTTAAGGCAAAAATTAAAATTTCACCAGTTGTAGTCTTCGGGGTGCTGAGTCGAATGGTCTTGGTCCGAGAAAGCTGGGACGCTCCCTTCCTACTTGAATCTCAATCGAACTCGCGCACTTCCACCGAAACTGGGTGACTGCGCCCTACTAGATGGGGATTTGTATGCAAAATGTCACTAAAAGCGCCATTTCGTTCTTATAAAAGCACGAATGACCGCGATTGGCCCATATGTTGTAGTCTTTTGGACGCTGAGTCGACTGGTTTTGGTCCGAAAAGGCTGCGATGCAGCGTTCCTCCTTTATTCCCAATCGAACATGGTTGAACAAGCGGTCACGTGCTCCTGGATGCCCAAATCGCCTGGTCACCACTGGCGCAGGCGACAACTTTCACTGCCAAGGTTCAACTCGAGTGACAGGACTGCACCCAAAAAAGGTCAAACAGGCTAGTAAGTTGTACCCTGCAGGCACGGTGACCAGGTGACTGGCGTACGCAGGAGCACGTGACCGCTTGTTCAACCATGTTCGATTGGGTATGGGGCTGTTAAGTGATGACGTCACAGTTCCTTCGATACGCATAGCAACGATCCCACTGGGGACAAACAAAAGTAGCGTCGTCTCCACCGAATCAGTTGTCAGTGGCAACATATAGGGATCGTGTACATTTCTTCGTTTCTTCTTTGCTGTTTTCAGTGAGTGTTTTGTTTTCTCTTTGTCCTTGATCTCGACGGTGTTGTCGTGCTCATTACCTTACTGAGACGTCTCTTGTGACTGTAGCCAGTGTCACGGAGGATTTTATTGGCGTGACGAGGTAGATCGCCGAGATCGAGCGTGAAAAACGCTCTGCATTAGTAGCTCCTGTAGAATGTCTTCTGGGATGGCGTATCCATGGTCAACAAAGCCAAGGTGCAAGACAGCATAAGAGATCGTGTAAACGATGTGAACTCCAAACGGTAAGCTCCTGAACAAGTGGAAAGATATGTGTATTTACAAACTCTCTCTTCATCCATCGATTGCCGCTATGCATTGCATTTTGTCTGCACAGATAATCTGGACAAATAAATTATATGGTACCTGGAGAGTGCAATCGTGCTTGGGACCCATCCCAATGTCATCACATGGCTGTGGTGACTAGTGTATACCTGTACCTGGGAGAGTTTTCCCTCAACTGAGACGGAGTGTAGGTGGACGGATTATGAGAAATGCGAAGATGTGGAGTAAGTTGTGTCGAAGAAATGTGTAATAAAATAAAATTTACTTTACACTCAAACATACACTGTACATGTACATGTAACATCATGATACTGATGATTCCATCTTCATATCTCCGCAACAGGTACGCCATACGCACCAAATACATGGTGTGTGTGTGCACGCGCGCGCTTGCGTGCGCGCGTACATGCACACACTCTCGTGCGTGGCCGAGTTGGCCGGATGAACAGACCACGCATTTGCACGAGGTGTCCGTTATGTCATTGGAGTGATATACTTTATGACTTTATTCCAAAATAGTATGTCTTGCCCCTGTCAAATGGAGTTTGTGTCTATGCTCAGCGGGTATCGGGCCACGACGCCACACTGCAGTCAGCGCTGGAATTAAAATAGCACTTCATGGATTATTTTAACTAATTTCCTTTGCGTTTACATGTACTTTGTTGAGCCCGTGGTTTCATTTCTGTGTTCTGTTATGATTGGCCTCTGGAAATAATCGGAGTGGATGTCATTTTTGTCATATGTGTGTGCCTTGTGCAACAGGTTCAAGGCTAGATGCACTTCACATTCGGCGTGCGATCTCGGCGTCTGGAACCTGATAACGTCTTGGTTGGATGGGTAATCAAGGATGATACTACTCGGCACACCAATGTACATGTCAATGTAATTTTTTACTTTTTCAGAGCTGCACTATTTACGGACGAATGTGTCTGTTAGAGAGGAAATAAATAGTATTCACAAACAAGTCCCACTTATTGTTTCTGTTCGTAAAAGGAAATTGCAATTTTTTGGTCATATTGTTCGTTCCGGCTGTTTGTCATTGACTGTTCTTCAGGGTTGTGTTGCTGGAGGTCGTTGCCGAGGCAGGCCCAGAATGTCATGGCTTGATAATATTATTTCATGGACTGCACTTGACGTGCAGTCCCTGCTCGCCACTGCACGCGATCGATTTTTATGGCGCTCACTTGTTCATACTTACTCTGTGACGCCCCGACGGGCTTAGGGCTATGGGCTTGTGATGATGACTATTTACGTCTTGATGCTTACTTCGGTGCTAGCGTGTTTCCCCCGGATTATTTCTATCATCATGCGTGTTCTTGGGCTGAGCGAGCACATGCACGAGTGTGCAGCTATAACCCCATGTATCTTTGGTTACACTTTGTTCTGCAATGCATGTACCTTGTGACAGTATGTGCTTGCACTGCTTTGTGTGGCCTGTGTATTTCAGGACTATTCAGTGCATTAGACCCAGGTTGGTTTGGTTGCCGGATGATCTCTTGTTGCATCCCTCTGTGTTTTGTATTCATCAATTTTTGGGCTTGAGAATTGAGCTGGTGTGTGGTTCCCAATATCAAAACATCATGCTGGTGCTCTGTGTTTTGATTATCGACTGTCCGAGCAGTCACGATTCATTACCAGAACGGTCAATACTGTAGTCTCTTGACGTGTTTGTCTTTTTTGTGTTTTCGCCGGGGGAATTAGCGGTGACGTTGCACATAGAACGGCAGTGTTGCATCACTGGACGACCCTGCCTCTGACTTCATGTCCCCAGGATCTGGTGCGGATACACCAGACAGTCACTTCCTGTAAACACGCAAACAGCAAAAGAAGAGATCCCGCAAATTAGGAAAAACCATTGCGGAAAATATCGAGTAGATCATACACCATTCAATAATCTGGAGTAATTAAAGGGAGACAAACACTTCACTGCTCTCTCTCTCTCCATCCTTCCAAAATGCCCTGTTATTGTTACAATACCCTGTAACAATTCCCTAGAATTATTTTATTTTAATATATTCTCAGGACATCATTCTGAACATAATAACTTCTTCCATGGGTCTTCAATCATCACGGAGGGCGAGAATATATCTAAGTCATGCAGTTTACGGGAGGCGCGAGCTGCCATGGATATAGAGGCTGATATTATTGTGCCAGCGTGAGGGCAGAGACAGAAAGAAGACACTGATTTCTTGAACAACTCACCTACATATAATCGAATCCACAGGGAGCGCTCGTACTTTGATCCATCAGGACGCGAAGAATCTTCAAAGCACTCTCAAACACGGAGTTTTACAGTGGGCAGCCAATTTCACAGCCATTATGAAGGCCCTCGACGACTACAGGAGATTTGTAGAGGAAAGAACAAGGAGTAAAGAGCGACAACAATCGCTTGAAGAAAAAGCAAAGAAAAACTGCTCCCTCTCCAGTCATTTAGATGCTGTTGCCTTTGACAACTGGTTCCATCCAGAGGACGCGACTTTTGTTTGTCCCCAGTGCTCTCCGTTGCTATGCGTATCGAAGGGGCCGTGACGTCACACTTAACAGCCCCATAAAGGAGGAACGCTGCATCGCAGCCTTTTCGGACCAAACCCAGTCGAC